CTGCTTCTCGAAGCAGCCGCGCGTCTGCGGCGATCCTCGCATCAAGATGTTTGCGGGCTGAATGTCGCAGTGAATGAGGCCCCTGTCGTGCATGTACTGGAGCCCTTCGAGAACGCCGTTCAGGACGTGGCGCATCCCTGTCTGCGTGAAGGAGGACTTCTTGAGGAATTGGCGGACGTAGATCTCGAACAACTCGTGCACGAGGCCGGCGTGCTCCGTCCATTTCCAATTTATCCTTGGCACTGACTGTTGCAGTTCTCGGCGCACTTTCGGGACTGTTGCAGATCCTGGGCACAACCTCCTGAAAAAAGGCCCACGTCGAGTAAGCGAACGAGACGCGGGTGCGTGCCCACAGCACCGTGGCCCGTGACCTCATCCAGAGCCCCTCCGACGGCATCCGTATTGAACCCCTTCTGCGCATCGCTGGGGTCGCCCCGCAGCATCTTGATCGCAAGGCCAGTCTTGTCGCCCCGTCGCATGCCCAAACAGACCTTGCCGAAAGAGCCCTGACCGAGCTCCCCTCCTTCCCACTCCACGTCGTGCTCGAGCGGCAGGTCCTCGCACTTGCCATTCTGTTTGTTTTGGTACGCGTGCCCGACCGCGTCGAGCTTCAGTGCAAGTGGATTCACACGACCCTCGAGGGGCACCGCTCTCGGACCAGCTGACCCGCGACGAGCAGCTGCCGGCGGCGTAGGCTTCTGGGACCCCGTCCGCGGCGGGAAAGAGCACCTCCCCCAGCGCCTCCTCTAGGGTTTCTCCTGCGACACCCTGGCCCACGGCGACAGCTGGCTCATATTCTGCAGCGTTAGCTGTTCCAGCCCATTTCGCGCACCCTGGCACCCCCGCAGGCTTGCCCACATAGTCTTTCCAATTGGCGCCCAGCGCAATCTTGATGAGCCGCGCGCAGGTGTCATGCGAAACTGGCTTTGGCCACGTCAACTCACATTTGTTCTTCGTTACCTTCTCCAGCGACACTTTTGCGGTCGGGGCCCCTTTTTGCCACCCTGGCCGCGCTATTGCTGCAGGCCCCCCTCAGCTTCTTGATCTTGTCGTTGTTCGACCCGTCACCCTGCAGGTAACAGCCCCACTTATAGTGGAGAACCTTGTTCCTGTCGCGGCCGCTGCCGCCCGAGGCAGCCATCGCCGCGGAGGCCCGCTGACGGCAGTGTCGCCCCTGCGGGCCCGCTAAGTTTCAGTGAACCGAGACGCCTGCGGGCCCCTCCTCCGTCCCCCCCCCCCCCCTGCGGCCGCTCCTCGGAGCGTTGCTTCCCGTGTCTTCCCTACCCTGCTGCATCCCCATCCTGGCCCGCCCCTACAGAGCGCCGTAAGGATGCAAGGGCCTTGGCGGCATGGCATCTGTTGTGCTTCGGAACGGAAAGCGCAGGCTGCAAGGGTGCCCTTTGGAAAGGTAAGCATCCTGACTCTGCGCCCTGCCTGCGCCGCGGGCCAAGTGCGACGGATGGCGACGAAGGGGTGACGGAGGACTATGTTTCTATATGTGCGCAAGGTGCCGTGTACTGCACAGGCCAGAACGTGGCGTGCGTCCCATGGCGAGAACGGGGGCGACGCCGCCAGCGCGCGCCTGCTGCAGTCCAAAATCAAACAAGTGGCAGTTCCACGGGAACAGGGGCGTGCGGGCTGGCTCCTGCGTCGGAGCTGTCGGGCCCTGTTGCAGCCTGCGATCTATCCTTCTCCGTCTTCGGCTTCTTCTTCTTTTTCGAGACCGAGGGGTCTGAGGACGAGGGGTCTGAGGTCGAGGACGCGTCGGGGTCGCGCTCGTTACCCTTCTTACCCTTCTTCTTGTCCCCCTTATTGTCCTTCTTCTTGTCCCCCTTCTTGTCCTTCTTCTTGTCCTCCTTCTTGCCCTCCTTCTTGTTGTCGTCCTTCTCCCCATCCTTCGGGCCCTCCATCGGGTCCTCCTTTGTCAGGCGCAACTGCGCAGAGCGTGCAAGCAGGTCCTCGCCCACGAACGCCATGGCGTTGCTCCCGAGCTTCGCGTGGTGGTCGTCGAAAGTCAAGGCCAACACACTGCGCCCGCTCTCGATGCAACCGTGCATGCCTGCGCCGCCCGCAGGCGCGCCGAAGTGCACCCACCTGGGCTTCCCCGCCTCGTGGCAGAGCCCCTTGAAGAGCTCGATGTCGTTGTCGCGCGAGACCACGGCACCTCCGTTCCCGGGAGCTGGCGGTAGAGCTTCCGCTTCTTCACGGCCGCAGTCACGAGGGCCTTCTCGGGGGGGGGGCGGCTGTTGCAGCTTCGTCGCGCGCCTCGGCGCCACAATCAGCGCCCTCGTCCTCCTGGAGAGGCTGGCAGCACCCCAGCTTCTCTCGCTCCTCGGCCTCCACCTCGGCGACGCACTGGCCGACCATGCTGGCCAAGCTGGTCTCCCGAACCTGCTTGGGCACGAGGGCGTGGCTCTTCTGCGGCAGGACAGGCACGTCCCTCACCACTTCGTTGAAGAGGGAGCTGCCCGCGCCCACGAACTGCCTGATCTTGGCCATTTGCTTCGGCTTCCTGCCCTTCTAGCAGAGCAACATGACCTCGTGCGAGCGCGAATTCGCCAGGCCTCGCTGCCTCTGGAAGTGGCCGCACTGCTGCATCTGATTCGTGTGTAGGCGAGGTGGTATGTGACCGTGCGGAACTTTTTTGCGGCGAGGATCTTCAGGATCTTCGGGGGGTTCGACTGCGAGCGGCCCGTCAGCACCCACAGCACGTCCCGTCCACCGACCATCAGCGGTTCCAGGGACTTCAGGTATAATGTGAAATCCTCCTCGTCCAGCGCGGGCTCACGGTGCGCGAGGCCTTGCCCCTCGAAGACGCAGCACAACTTCGCACTCTTGACATCGTAGAAGCCCATCGCTGATGCATTTTCTGTGAGGCTCTGGCATAGGCGTGTCTTAGTAACCGAAGCGTTGATATCCATGGCGCTGCCCTCCGCCGTGAGCATGGCGACCCGCGCATCCAGCTGGCTAGAGCACTGCTGCTCGCACAGCGCCTTGAAGTTATTCGCGTCGCTCGGGGAGACGTCGGTCTTCTTCTTGTCCTCAGAGGCCGCCTCCGCTGTTCCAGCCCCGCACGCTGTCGCAGCACCGACCGCGTCGCTGTCTCCAGGCTTTTGCTCTGCGGTTCCTGGGGGCTTTCCACGAGGGAGTCGTGCGCGACGTGGAACTTCTCGGAGAACCTCTTGCTCACTCGCACGCTCCTGTGGAACTTGTCCATGTTGTAGCGCTCGGCGTACGGCTGGGTGAGGGCGCCAGAGATCTCCTGCTTGTAGAAGTCCTGGCCGATTTCCAGAAAGTGGTTCATCGCCAGGCGCAGCGCCTCGGTCGGCAGTGACTGCACCCAGGTCGGGTCCTTGTCAGGCCCCTCAGTATTCTCGTAGAACTTGAGCGGCGAGTCGAGGTATTGCCTCGCCATGACCATGACTTTTCTCTCGGCGGCGCTCTCCTTTGTGCATGTTGTTTCAGTGCTGTTGCAGCCAGTGCTGCCTTTGAACAAGTCTGGGTACTGTTTCAGAAAGTTCGCCACGTATTTCTTCGCTTCAAGATCTCGCCCACTGCCTGGCCGATGGTGGAGGCGCTGTGCGGGTCCTTCACGCTCTTCCGCCACATCCGCGTGTACTGGCTTTCCAAGACGTACCCCAGCGAGGTAGCATCCGTCTTCGTGATGATCGTCCCAAGCTGTGTGGGCCTGTCCAGCAGATTGTCTCGCCCCCAACGGTTCACGGCGGCATCCAAAAGCAGCAGTGCCCCCGGGCACGTTTGGAGAGCGATCCAGTTGACCATGTGCGTCTTGACGGTCCTCAGGCTGGGGCAGTGCATAAGTCCCCACTTTATGTTTTTCTCCAACCACGCCTGCGCCTTCTCTGCCGAGGGGTTCCCGCCAGCTGGCCCGCCGCTCTTCGCGTTATCCGCCGCACGTGCCACGATGCGCAGGCGGTTCCCGTTCTCGAGCCCGAGGAAATCGCGCAGGCGCTCGGTGCGCGATCTCTGGTTGACAGACCACTTGAACTTGTTTTCCTCGGCCTCCTCTGCCGCGCGCCCCGGGATCTGCGCGAAATCGAAGGGCCAATCCAGGATCAACTCCTCCAGCGCTTCTACGGCCTGCCTGTTGCCTTCCTCTTTCCCCCAGTAGTAGGCCAGCCAGACAGCGTTGACCGCGACGTCACTGCCCAAACGCTTGAACTTGCCGATCTCGGGCACATCGGTCTGGTTCACGCTGGTGATCCTGATGGGGATCTCGAACCCTTTCTCAGCCTGCTTCGGGATGTTCCAACGCCTGCCACCCTTGACCTGGCTTAGCGTCTCCACGATGCGCCGCTGTGGGTTACCCTGGGCTGTGCACTTGACGTCGCCAACTCCCTCGTGAGAGTCGTTCGCTGTTTCAGCCGCGTCGTCCGTCGGCACGTTCCACATGAACACGTCCGCAGCCGCGTTCTCCACCTGCGCCGCGGCGCCGTTCATCGCGCTCAGGCGGGCTGGTTCAGCTGCGGGGTGGCTGTTCCACCTCGCGCGCCTGTCGCAGGTCGGGCTGGAGCCGCGGTGGCAATGGAGGAGGGCAATGGAAGAAGAGGGGCCGTTGTAGCCGATGGAACGTCCAGAGGGCGGGTAGGAAGCAGAGCGAAAATGGCCGCAACCAATTCTAGACGAACTCAGGGATGCCGGAAGCCGCCCACTCCCTCGAAGCAATGCGAAGATTAGTGCATTTTCAGCGAGCGAGGGCGCCAGGGCCTCAAGGGAGATTGCCAGAAATTCCTCGCCCCTCAGGGCGCCAAGAGGAGATCCCAATCTTCAACGCACTCATTTGTTCAGTCCTACTAGATGCAGAACCCCATAAATCTGTTATTCTTTCGAATTCGTTTGCCCGTTGCACGGGCGCACCGCGCGAGCGCGGCGAAGGAGCCAGCGCGCGAGCCAGGCTGTGCGCAGCCAGGCTGCTGCACGTGGCGAACGAGTCATGATGCACATGAGGCTTGGTGCTCACCTGCACGTCGTCGAACTACTCACTCATCCTCGAGCCACTCCGCGATCTTCTCGATCTCCATCAAGTAGTTGTTGAACGATACCCAGTACCACTTGTCGTCAATCGCCAAATGCGCATCGTGAAGGTTGTCGCCGATCGCGTGGCTGCCCTGACAAAGCTTGATGCACACCTGGCTCTTCTGCATCGTGATGCTGAACTTCCAGTGCATGATCTCTTCGAACCCAGACCTGATGATATCCTTGAAGTTGCCGATCGTCGCCTGCTCGATCTCTTGTCAAACCCAACCGTGACGCGGAAGGTGCACCGCGCCCCACTTGCCGAGTGGCTCGAGGAACACCACGCAGCGGATGATATTGTCCTCAGTGTTGCATGGTGGCTCGCATGACCACTTTACACGCGGATCAACTGGCGTGATCTCATGAGCAGCCTGGAGCATGATGTCATGAATGTCGGTCCTAAACCCGATGAGCCAGGTTAAGTCATAGACGCGGTCTTCGTCGCGCAGCCTGTCGCCCCTTACCATCTCCCCCTGACACTTGAAGAGCACGATTTCCTTGTCCCTGAACAGGCTGAATATGATTGCCAGCTGCTGGCATATGCTGCGCACGCTCACTGAATATGCAGTGTCCGCGGCAGCTTCTGCGAACGAGGGGAGGGGCCCCCTCGGCACGTCCAGAAAATACCACGTCGCACATTCTGGGAGACGCACCTGCATCTGCCACATTGTTGCAGTCGGCTTCGGGCTCGCATCCCATCCGGTGCTCGTGCTGTTGCAGCTCTGAAGCAGTAGGCCACCTGCTGCGGCATGACACCTGCGCGAGGCATCGCGGGCGAAGCGCGAAGAAGCGCTGGTGAAGAACACGCGCGCCACAACGATCTAAGACGGCTACGGACAACAGAGTTGGCCCATGCGTTCTCATGGGCAGTACATAGCGCGATAATCTTCGCGCCTCATCGAGGCCAAAAAGGCCTCGCGCCCCTTCGCCGCAGACGATCATCGCCTGACGCGCGGGGCACGGGCCCCACTGCTGTGGGCGAAGCTTCCGTCTCTAAGTCTAAACAGGGCAGTCGAGGACGAGACCGCCCCCACCACACCCGCACCCGCGCCTCCTATTCCACTCCTCTCCCATTCCCACTCATCCTCTCTCATTCCTCCCGAAGGTACGTGGCTCAATTGACCGAGGTGCCATCTCGTTACAGCCTTCCATGCTATGCTGTGCAAATGCTGTATCGTTTACCCTATACTGGCTTCCATGCTATGCTGTGTTATGCAACTCCTATGCCATGGGGGGGGGGGGGGGGCTATCTTATTTCAGCCTTCCATGCTGCGCTGTGCTGAGCAGGCTGCGACAATGCTCTATGCCACTGCTATGCTACACCAATGCTATGCCAATGCCTGCTCAGGGATGCTTAAATGTGTTCTAGGGCTGACGCTTCTTTATGAATGTTGGATTTCGCTTTGTTTATTTTTTGCTGTTACCCTGCTAAGTCGCTATCACCCTGCTGAGTCGCAGCTGCGCCTTGTAGCGAACGAAAAAAAGGCGATGACCTCAACCGCCTGGCTCGCCAGAGCGCTGCACACCTGGCTCACCAGTAGAAGAATGATGGTGGCTTCCGCCGCCTGGCTCATCATGCAATGATGGGTTCCACTACTTAGAAGGCTCAGGGTTACCAAGCCAGTCAAGCTTCCTGGTGCGCTTGACCTTGTACGTGACAGCGAACTCCTCCTCAGCCTCTGGGGGGCAGGGGCGCCCGCGAATCAGGTCTTTGTATGCGGCCCTTACGAATGGCGACATGTCATTCTCGGCTGTGTATCCGCTCGTTATCTCCAGAATCGTTGTACGGGTTGCTGGCCAGCCCACCACATCAATCTTCTTCTTCTTGCGCTCAGGGTCGTCCTTGTCGGCGGCAGTCGGCTCAGGTGTTGGAATTGCTGCTGGTGGCGGCGTCGGAGTGGGCCCTGATGGAAGCGCTGGAGTTGTCACCGTGTACGTGTTGTCAGCAGGCCCCGAGGGCGGCAATGATGCGGGCGCTGGGTCCTGACTGAAGCGCTGGAGTAGGTTCTGATGGTGCACCTGACTAGTAGTTGGCGGTCTTGGCAGTGGCTTGGGCCCAGAATCTTCCGAAGCAACTGCCAGCGGCGCCTCCGACTGCGGAGGTGGGACCTGCACGTCGTCGGTCTTGCCGCCCCTGGAGCACGCGAAGGAGTTCTTGGGAACGGCGAAGGACGCGGGTGGCAGAGCGAAGGCTGCCATCGACGAGAGTGGGGGGGATGGCGAAGTCGAAGGTTGAAGGTTGCCATCGACGAGACCTGGGCGAGGCTGCCATCGACTCGGTGGGCATCGCCCCCTGTTGTTGTCTCACAATTAGCACCCGCTTCGGGAGCATTCGCGGGCTAGCTTGAAAACAAAACATGTCATCGTCTTCGGCATCAGCGTCACCACCGCCACCAAACACCGTCATCGCCATAAGTGGGCGTCCCTGGGCGCCTCCTCTCCTCCTCCCTTCCTCCTCCCTTCCTCCTCCCTTCCTCCGCCCTTCCTCCTCCCTTCCTCCTCCCTTCCTCCTCTTTCCTTCCTCCTCCTCGTCATCCCTCCTCCTCCTCGCCCTGTTGCTCATGCTCTTCCCCTCGCCCTCGACCTCGCCCTCGCCCCCCCCCCCCCCCTCCGCCTGCGCCTCCCCCCCCTCCTCGTCCTCATCATTTCTGACTGGGGGAATTCCCCCCCCCCCCCCCCCCCCCCCCCCCCCTTTCCTTTTAAGCGCGCATAAAGAAACGTGTCCGAACACGGCGGCACGTCGTACCCACCGCCGCCCTGTCCTCGACCTCGAGAACGAAGGCTTCCCCCTTGAAAGGCGGGGGCGCAGGGGCGGGGCCCTGTCTTCGACCACGGTGAAACATGGGGGTGGGGCCCTGTCTTCGACCACGGTGAAACATGAATAGGGCGCGGCCCTCCCCGCCCTCGCGGGGCGGTCTTGCTCCCTGGGGCGTGATCGGGGATCAGGGGCGGGGGGGATTCAGGGACTTCTGAATTAGGACTAGAAGGTGGGGAGGAGGAGGAGGAGAAGGATGGGGAGGAGGAAGGCTTCACCGCCCTCCACGCACCGCCGACTTTCATCATGTATCCGCCCCGTGCTGGCGAGCTCTGAAAGTACCCACTCCTGGCAATATGAAGACGCGCTTCCCGTTGAGCTCCGTGATGAGTGCTATGGCCAACGATTGAAGCATGGCCGCCGTGGTAACCAAGTTGGCGCCGCTCCCAACCGATATCCTCTTCGTCAACGCCTGAGGGGAGATCGATTAATGGCCGTGAGCGCGGTATACCGCGATTTCGCCCATGCCGCGGAGGTTCAAGGCCTTCGGGGCCATCGGAAAGAAAGGCGGCATACCCTCGATAGAGCAAACTCGCCAACAACTTCCCGAGCCAAGCGAGACTACGTACAACCAGATGGTGCGGGCCAGGAAACTGGAAGACCCCAGAGCGGCAGTGGATACTTCAGGCCAGGGTCAGGATGAGCATTGGAAGAGCCTGCTGGGGGACCCAAGGATGAGCCATCACAGGAAGGCCTGAGCATAATTGCGCGAGGCTGCTGCGAGAAGCCCGATGGGGACTGTGACAAGGGAGTGCGGCGGCACGCCGCTGTGAGAAGACTTATACGGCAACGATACCCGTGTGAGAAGCTACTGCCGCAGGCAGCGGCCCGCGTGAGGTCACTCGGTCATCCTTCGTCGTATGGTAGCTGGGTTTCTTATGGTAGTTTGGTTTCTTATGGTAGCTGGGTTTCTTAAGGTAGCTTGGCTTCTCATGGTAGGTTGGTTTCGTATGGTAGCTTGGTTCCTTATGGTAGATTGGCCTGTCATGGTAGTTTGTTTTTTTACCTGGCATCTGTCCTGACATGTTCTAGCCCCCAAGGAGCTCTAACATGCGAGGTTAGAGCTCACATGGGAGCTCTAACATGACAGGTTCGGGCTCCCACGGGGCTGTAACATGCGATGTTAGAGCTCACAGGGAGCTCTAACATAATCTAACATTCTATGTTAGAGCCCCCTTGGAGCTCTAACATACGATGTTAGAGCTCCCAGGGAAACTCTCACATAATCTAACGTGCTATGTTAGAGCTCCATTGGAGCTCTAACACACGATGTTAGAGCCCCCAGGGAACTCTAACCTCATAAAACGTGCTATGACAGAGCTCCGTTGGGGCTCTAACATGTCATGTTACAGCTCCCTGGAGCTCTAACATGCCATGTTCGAGCTCCCTCAGCGGAGCTCTTACATGAAATGGTATAGCCAATGAATTTGCATGTTGTGGAGTTATTTGTTTCGGGGGAGGGGGCGGGGGAAGAACGTGGCGATGCAAGGCAGGGAGCTCTAACATGCCATGTTAGAGCTCCCTGGGAGCTCTAACATGCCCGTCGCCGCCGCTGCCGCCGCCGCCCCTCAACCGTTTCACAATCGATTGCGCAGCGGTCAAGCCCCCCTGAACCGTTGCGCGATCGATTGTGGAACGGTTAAGCGCCGCCGCCGCCGCCGCCGCCCCGTAAACGCTTAACCGTTTCACAATCGATTGCGCAACGGTTGAGGCCCCTCACTCGCCAGGGGGGGGGGGGGGGGCTTAACCGTTGCGCAATCGACTGTCAAACGGTCAAGCGCCCGCCGCCGCCGCCGCGCCGCCCCTTAACCGCTTCACAATCGATTGCGCAGCGGGCAAGCCCCCCCCCCCCTCTCCAGGGGGGGGGGTCTTAACCGTTGCGCGATCGATTGGGAACGGTTAAGCGCTCCGCCGCCGCCGCCGCCGCCGCCGCCCCTCAACCGTGTCGAAATCGATTGCGCAACGGTTAAGGCTACCCCCCTGGCGAGAGGAGGGGGCCTTAACCGTTGCGCGATCGATCGAATCCTGGTTAAGGCCCCCCTCTCGCAATAGGGGGTATTAACCGTTCCGCGCGCGGGCGCTGAGCGGTTAAGACCCCCTATTGCGAGAGGGGGATCTTAACCAGGATCCGATCGATCGCGCAACGGTTAAGACCCCCTCCTCTCGCCAGGGGGCGGCCTTAACCATTTCACAATCGATTGCGCAACGGTTAAAGCCCCACCCTGGCGAGAAGGGGGCGGCCTTAACCGTTGCGCAATCGGCTGTGAAACGGTTAAGGGGCGGCGGCGGCAGCGGCGGCGGCGGCGGCGGGTATGTTAGAGCTCCAAGGGAGCTCAAACATAGCAAGTTAGAGTATGTTAGAGCTCCTTGGGAGTTCTAACATCGTATGTTAGAACTCCGCGGGGCCTCTAGCATGTCATGGTATAGCTCCCTGGGAGCTGAAACATGATGCAAGAGCTCCCAGGGAACTCCCTGGCACCTCGAACCTTGCATGTTAGACCCCCGGGGAGCTCTAACATGGCATGTTAGAGCCCCAGCGGAGCTCTAACATAGCACACTAGATTATGTTAGAGCTCCCTGGGAGCTCTAACATCGTATGTTAGAGCTCCAGTGGAGCTCTAACGTAGCATGTTAGATTATGGTAGAGCTCCAATGGAGCTCTAACATCGTATGTTAGAACTCCGTGGGACCTCTGACATCGCATGCTATAGCTCCCTGGGAGCTGAGCTATCTTCCCCACAGGGCCTCAAGAGAGATTGCCAGAAATTCCTCGCCCCTCAGGGCCTCAAGATGAGATCCCGAATCTTCAACACACTCAATTTTTTCAGTCCTGCTAAAACAAGGACCCCATAA